TTAGGAAGAAACTCTTCCCTGTGAGGGTGGTAAGGCACTGGCACTGGTTGCCCAGAGAATCTGTGGATGCCCTGTCCCTGGAAGTGTCCAAGGCCAGGCTGGATGGGGTTTTGAGCAACCTGGTCTAGTGGAAGGTGTCTCTGTCCACAGCAGGGGGCTTGGAACAATATGATCTTTAAGGTCCCTTCCAAACCATTCTATGATTCTATGAACTAAGAAATTTATCAGCACATACAGAAGTGAAAATGTCAAAGAAGACATTGTTAAGACAATGTTAAAAGGAGACAATTACAAAATAGTTTGCATGCATGAAATAGTTACATGGAATGAGACTGATTCCGGTTTATGTGCTTGAGATACAGAAAAAACAAAGTGTTCTCAAAGAGGAACTGGCACAGAAAAAGGGACTAATAAAGCAATTAAAGAATAATTACAAAAATATTAGGAATTCTCAGATCTTTGTGTTCCATAGCAAAAAGACAAGTCCTGTAGTGAATTTTATAAATTGTTTATTAATTCTGTACACAAGATTAAGAAAGTTTTCCACTTGAAAAGTTGTTTTTATATATAACAATCTTTCAAGTGGTAACTCTTTGGCCATATACACTTCTCCTGCTCATTTAAATTGAAGTCAGCACTTTGTTTATAGGTCAGAATGCTCAACTTCTTTCTACTCAGAAGTATAAAAAAAAAGGTTGCCCTACTAATGAGGTACCTGAAGAGATGCTTAAGAGGAAGATAGACAAAATTGAAGTGCTGGAATTCCAAAAGATGTTAATTCACACTGCAGCCCTTGAAAACTTCCACAGAGCAGAACATAAAGGTCAGAAGATTGAATACTATAATTTAATTATTTTAACTCCAGGAAAAGAACTGTAGGGGTGGTACAAATAAAATACCTCATTAGAAACTGGCCAAGATGAAGATAACAGTTGATATCTGAGTTCTGAGATGTAACAAGAACTAATAGTTTCTGCTGCAGAATGTGCCATAGAAACTCCATATAGCTGAGCCAAGTGATTTAAAGGGACTAACCAAGCAAAGAAACAATGAAGAAGGGAACTGCGGCAGCAGCCAAGCAACACCCAGTTACTCTTCAACCACGTGTATTGTCTAAAAGAAGTTCATCAGGCAGTCACTTAGAACTTTGGGGGCTCCAGACATAAACAACCACCGAAGACCCCCAATGAAGTCCCTCAGAGACCTTATAAGGATATGTATATATGATAATAAGAGTCAGTAAATGTCATGAATATGTAACAGGAATGTGGGGAAGGAAAAATGAATAATCATGCAATGCTGACATACAAGTTGTAGTGGAGATACCTCTCTGTGTGCACTTTGGAAAACTGATGACAAGGGTACCCAGAGTCCTGTGACCATGCAGCATGTTGTAATAAAGAATGCCTGGTTTCTAAAACTCACAAATTGATTCTTAGAGGTTTCTTTAAGAGCTGATTTTAGGACATAAAGTAATGCCTGTATCAGAGCCAGTACTGTGTTATTTTTACTCCACTGCAAGGCAGCAAGGTACCTGACAGAGTTTCTAAAAGGGCACAAGTAGCACTATATCCAGTGAGAGCTGCATTCAGACTATGTGACTTTGTGTCATTACAGCTCAATGATACTCAGTTTCCCAACTGAGAATTGAAAGAATTACTAAGAAATTTGATATTAATTTTTAATTCAATAATTTTTTTAATTTTATATAAATTTTTGGCAAATAAATTCAAAAGAAAAAGCAACAGCAAAGCAGCTTCTTTAAGACTGCTTACATTTATAGATTTAATAGAGCTGTGTTCATACTTGAGTTTTAGTCAAGCAGCAAATAGTATATCCTATGCAAGTACAAAATAAACACAAAAGAGTCAGTCAAAAGAGGAGACCAAAAAAATAGCCAGTGAGAACAATATAAAACCTTAAACCAGACATGACTGCTATAGTTGTGCGCACAGCAAGTATTAAGATCAGAAAGCCCTGTGCACAACCAAGCTTTGTAAACTTACTGTCAAGAGTTGCCTGTGTTCTAACACTGCTGTGCCCATTCTGTAAACAAAGGAGAAATGGATGAATAAATTATCCTACAGGTACATTAAATTTTCAGACCAAATGACACACAGAGCATACTTCATGCAAAATTCTATATTCAATTCAAAACTGAAAGACCAAAAAGACAGAAAATTAACTTTTTTTACAGCCTTTAACAAAACCACATAATAAAGTTGTCTCAAGTGCAAGGTGTCCTGAACATACAGAATCTCAGACACTGCCCATAATACACCCATCAGCAGGACACCATCCCATGTACTGCATATAACATAAACTTCAGGTTCACACCAATATGAAAGAAAGAATTGCATTATATAGGAAATGGTTGTGCTTTTGATCAAATGCAACTCACAATTTTAACTATCCAAGTTACACAGAGACACTAATTTTTTCGATTGAAAGATAAGACTTGAGAGGCACCAGTTGTTGTTTGGATAATGCTGGAGTACAGAAGTAGATAGTCTATGCTGATCCTCACCAGTACATACAAGCTAGTGCAGAAGACAAGCGTGACTGAACCATTACATAACAAAGGTCAGGAGTAAATAAACTTAGAAACTCTCACAAGTTCCTTAAATATTTGATAAATTAAATTCTCTTGAAACAAACCTACATTCCATATCCAAAAAAAGTAGGTGCTTTTGAATACTCCTGAGACTCTTTCTGTCCTAGATTAAATCTCTCCCTATGCTTTTTAAAAGATTAAACTAATTCCCACTGCTGTTTAAATCCAACAAAAGAGTAATGCTGGAAGGGTCACAAACAGTTTGGAATCCATTTGCTAGGTGCCATATTAATTTAATAAATAATATGCCTTTGGGTAGAAACTGTCAAGTTATGGCAAAATACCATGACTAATATTTTACATAAAAACTAAGCTTCAGGGAAGGAAACTCAACTAGAATGTTAGTGTTATAAAGAATAAACGTCAAACAGCAATTCAAGACATTAAAACCCATAAAAGCAGAGGCTCTTATATACCAAAAATGGCTACACAATAGGAAAAGAAAAAACAACAGAGTGAACTTGGGAATCAAAAAATACCACTTGCCTTGGTTAAAATATTACTATACCTGAGTAATACAAGTTTAATATGGATAAGAATATTTCCTCTTTTTCAAAGTCTTATTTCTGAAATTCACTCACCATATCTGCAACAGGGGTTGGTTCAGATGGAGCCATGGAGCTTTGGTATGCTATCCTACTATGCACAGAAGCCTCGTCATAGGAGGAAGTTGTTACTGGGCTAGTGCTCTGAGATGAGCAGGTCAGACTGGAAGAGCTGATGGCAGAGGTTGTGTGGGTGGACTCTTGTACTGTATTGGATATTGGCAAAGAGGTATTCAAAGGATCACTGGAAAAAGTAAAAATTATTTATCAGCATGGTAAATGACATCTCAAACACCTTTGTGAAAATATCAGCTCCTATATAGTTATCTAGAACTACTTTAAACATGCAGTCAAATCTACATTACTTATACTAGAAAATCTAATAATGAGAAAAAATATATAATTTTCCTTTGATCCCCAGTAATCACTGCTTCAAAACCATCAGCTGCACTAAGCACCATTCATCATCTTCTTTCCAGCCCAACCAAAACAAGAGTTTACAACACAAGCACTTTTTGGTCTTGTTATTTCCACCTTCTCAAAGGATATATTAATGAACATAAACTCTGTTTTTTAAACAAGTAGGTCCATAAAGTCTGGTATATGGTGAGAAACACCCAGTCTCTTTTTACAATAGAATTCTGTCATTAAGTCTAACAGAATTATGCAAAGAAGAAAAGTACTTTAAAATGCAGGATTGTTTTATTTGTAAACAGTTTTGGTTTTTTTAAGTTTATAGAACTAGAAATTAATGTGAAAATTCATTTTTAATGATATTTCTGAATTAGCTTCAGAAAACCTCTTATTGAAGCCAATTTTTGAATGAATAAGGAAGAAAAAATGGGTTACTGGTACGCTGGCATTTATCATTGACCATTTTAGCATTTCAGTTAGAGGTTCTACATACTGAAAGACTGACTTCTTTTCTCATCCCATAGAAGCATCAGATTTGTAATCTTGCGCCAATCTACTAATACCCATATATGGTACAAAGGTCATCTCTACGCAACCAAAAGTAGAAAAAAATCATGCTGTGAGGAACAAATCCTTTACACAAATTTGAAAATCGGGACAATTAAACACGAGAAAGCAATTCTATAAAGGGTAGTTTAATTATAAAATTATTTACATTCATGTCATCTCGAGCTTCGCATCAACCCATCCAGGGACATTTTGATTGTCATTAGAAAATAAATTTCTCCTTTAAGATGCCATCCACAGAAAACACTTCACAGATTCACACAATCAATTAGGTTGGAAAAGACCTCTGAGACCAGAGTCCAAACTGTGACCTAACACCACCATGGTCAACTAGACCAGAGCACTAAGTGCCACATCCAGTCTTTCCTTAAACACCCCCAGGGAAGGAGACTCCACCACCTCCCTGGACAGTCCATTCCCATATCTAATCACTCCTTTTGTGAAGAAATTCTTCCTAATGTCCAACCTAAACCTCCCCTGGCAGAGTTTGAGGCTATGTCCTCTTGTCCTGTCACTAGTTGCGTGGGAGAAGAGGCTGACCCCCACCTGGCTACAACCTCCTTTAAGATAGTTATAGAGAGCAATAAGGTCCCCCCTGAACCTCCTCTTCTCCAGGCTAAACAACCGCAACTCCCTAACCCACTACTCAAATGATATGCATTTCAGACTCTTCACCAGATTTGTTACCCTGGATTCACTCCAGTATCTTAATGTCCTTCCTGAATTGAGGGGCCCAGAGCTGGACACAGCACTCAAGGGGTGGCCTCACCAGCGCTGAGTACAGGGGAAGAATCACTTCCCTGCTCCTGCTGCCACACTGTTCCTGATACAGGACAGGATGCCAATGGCCTTCTTGGTCACCTTAGCACACTGCTGGCTTGTGTTTGTTCACCTTACGTCATCATATTTCCCCCTCCCGTTACATGGTAGTTAGGTCTTGATGTTTTTGGCACGGTTTTGGCCCCTTAAAGACACGCAAGAAGGCAGGAGGGGAACTCACACATATTTTAGAGATTTTGTGTACAAGTTATTGTTGGTTGCCTGGCTGATATTCTCACTGCTTGAAGTTGATCCTAATTCTGGGAGCGCAGGTTCTGATCCAAACTCCAAAGCTCCAAACTGAACATTTAATCCTGTCACGTCTGCTGATCCAGGCATCTCCACTGCAGATGCAGGAATCTTAAAGGAGGAAAAAACTCAATATAATTCCTATGCATGCACAATCTGTATTAAAGATATCAGTAACTGACATCCTCTCATCCCTTAACTACAGGCTTCTTCAGTTACTGAATCAGCCTTTGATGGTAACTAGATGTGTGACAATCCCCCACTTTACATAAATTAACTACATTCTTGTAACCTGAAATAAATTCATCGATGCTGTCCCCTGATCTGGAGTTGAAACAATAAGTCATACAGTTTTACAATATCAAAGTGTCTGTGTCCATCCCCCTCAGCCAATATTCATCTTGTGGTTACAAAGTCAATCCAAAAGTCACACAGTAACAGTCATTTTCCACACAGAGCAATCAGATATATGCTTGGAAAAGACAACACTGTATTTTGAATTTAAAAACGATTCAGCTTTGAATTTTCTGCTTTATAAACAAGAAACAGAATATGATCTTTGCTCTCCTTCTCCCTAGAAACTTGTATATAGAATCATTTAGGTTGGAAAAGACCCTTAAGATCATAAAGTCCTGCCGTTAACCCAGCACTGCCAAATCCAGTACTAAACCATGTCCCTAAGCACCACATCTACATGGCTTTTAAATCCCTCCAGGAATGGTGATTCCATCCCCTCCCTGAGCAGCCTGTTCCAATGCTTGACAACCCTTGCTGTGAAAAATTTTTCCTAATATCCAATCTAAACCTCCCATGGCACAACTTCAGTCCATTTCCTCTCGTCACTTGTTGCCTGGG